CTGACGCCCGAGGGTGAAACTCGCCCTTGTAGCGCGGAGCCGGCAGCATCCGCTCCTTTAACGAGGCAGTTGTACGCGCCTGTCTGTGCGGTTCAAACCGGGTTGTTTATACCTTCGGTTGTAACTTATTTATTTTCTTCTTAGGAAATTCATTGGTAGACTTCCGGACAAGGGTAAGAAGATCTCTGATTTTGTTGAAAAGCTGACGCTTGCCATCGCGCATGAGGAAGAATCGGCAAGGACAGCGGAGCTGCTCTCGGCTGTCAGGCTGGAGCTCCAGGCGAAGCGGCAGGAGGCTCACAACAGCGAGCCGCAGGCTGCCCTAAAGGAGCACGTACCCTGCCGTGAAGATTCCTCAGGCTTTAATGACAATTCTAGTATTAAAGAAGTCGCTAAGATTGCTTCCCAAAGACAGGAGGCAGAATATAGTGAGCAGAATGCCACGAACACAGCTGTTGATAATCAGAGGACTCGGAGGGAAAATGATGAAATAAAGACTGCTATAAAAGATCAGAATCTTTCTTGTGAAGTTAGCTCCAAGTCAGCCGCGAGCAGTCATCTGAAAAGTGATCAGCAGATATCTCAGATTGATTCTCAGGATTATACAGAAAGTACAGGTGCTCTGGATAACAGTAAAGACATGCTGGTTGATGCCTTTCAAAAAGTTACAATTGTAGATGGAGATAATAATGAAAGTGTATTGGAGAAAGAGCAAAACGTGGCTAAATATAAGGGCAAAATCTTTGGCAGCGTGCATACCAAGACACCACATTATATTGAAGTTCTAGAGTCTAGAGCCAAGAACCCAATCATAAAGAAAAACAAATTTAAAACAAATGTGTAAGTATTACAGAACAGATTTTTTTGTGAAATAATTAATTCGTATCACACTGTAAGTTATACAGCATAAGCATGGCAGGCTTATTTTCTTGTGACAATTACAGAGATTTAAAGTCATGTGACATGCTCTGTTAATATATTGGCTCTTTGGCATTTATTACAGAATCTAAATATTGAGCAGTGGTCTAATTCCACCCATGTGAAAAAAATGTAAGTTTTCATAGAATTTGTAGCTCAGGCTAAGAAAGCTATTAAACAATTGGCAAAAATTTCTTGTGGATTACGTAGAGCCTTCATAGCAGGTGGCCTTTGCTTTTCATCCACCACTACAGAAATTACAATTCACATTGCACTGATAGCAGTAACAGTTTATACTTTCCTTGATTCTCAAGACATTGCTGTTTCTTGTATGCTAATTAATTGGCATACTTTTCACTATCAGGAGTAACTTGAAGTGTTGTTTCTCTTCACAGAAACTATATGTGACTAAATGAGAAGAAGATTCATCTTTTTAGCTTTTCAAGTAATGTTTATTGTCCATTTGTATATGATGTCATAACATTTGACATGCTCTTTAAACTTTTCAACTCTTACATGTCGAAAGTAACAGGTTTCAGAACGGAAGTTATTCAACTTTATATTGCAAACTTGATTCACAGTTTTTTATGTTTTATCATTTACAGATTATCAGGAGAGGTAAGTGGATCATCACATGGTTCCTCATCCAGTCAGTCACCTGGGGGATTTGGCTCACCCATTACTACTGAAGAAAGACGACTTAGAGATAAGAAACATTTGAATGACATCACAGCAGCTCGGCTACCGCCACTTCATCATGCCCCTGCTAAGTTACTATCTATAGAGGAATCCATAGCAATTCAGATACAGCAAAAAGAAGCTTACGAGGTACGTGTTTAAGGCTTGGTCTGAAAAATAGTTATATAATTGGGACCGCTCCTAAGAAAAGAAAGCATAAAGGCATCTCTTGATGCTGGTGAGTTTAATGATGAAATTGAGATTTCCAGGCCTTGTGAGGAAAGATGTTTTTTCTTGTGTTTGATTTTTTTAATGATATGTTTAAATGATGAATTAATCCCTTCTGAAACTGCTTTTCGTGCATTAAACAAAATCTGTCGTTATTCTTTGTGTGCAGTTACGCTAAGTCCATTGCAGTCTCTGCACCTCTGACTAGAAATTCAAATGTGTTTCTTGCCTATTAGCTTTTAAAGAGTTTGCAGCCCTTGCTAAATGAAGGCATAATAGTGTTTGTTATTCCTGAAACATGCAGGTGGCTATTTAGTTTATTCTGTGCCTGAAATATCTTGAGTTCTGAAGTTCTTTAAAGTTAAGGAAATTTCATGCTGAATCCCACTATAATGCATTTTGGTGTGGACTTCCCAGGTGATACTGAGATAGTGTTTAAACTAGACACTCCTGTAAAACTGTTTGTTGCTGCCTATCATTTTTCAAGGGCTTGCTAGTTTAGTCTTCTGGGCACTTGAGGGAAGGTAATCCATTTGGAAAATGGAAACAGACTGTTTGCTGAGTGACAGGCATTGCTCTTGCCTGCATAGTTACTGTGCAAGGCTGCTCTCCTGTGTGGACTGATTCTGTTCCGTTAGAGCTGACATTAGTATATCACAGAGGAGGCCTGCCACATGGGGAATTTCAGCTCACATTAAAAGGTCTTCCAATATTAATAGCACAGTTAGGTATTAAACTTAAAGAAATTTCAGTTTTTTTCAATAGTTATTAGAAGTTTAACTTAAAACCACTCTAAAGTTACTAATATTATTACTATGACACGTTTTTCCTTTAGAAGATTTTTGTGATCACCAGAGTAAAAATGACAAATGAATGCTTTTCCTAACTTGATTGATTTTTTTCTTAATAGGAAATGCAAGCCAAACTTGCAGCACAGAAGCTTGCAGAAAGATTGAATATAAAAATGATCAGGTTTGAACCAGAAGGAGAGGCCTCAATGCAATACAGAGAAGTGAGAGATGAAGATTATCTTTCAGGAGAGGACTGAATTCAAGAACGGATGCCTGAAGATGAGCCACATAACTGATCTTTTATGCAGCACTCCTTAAAACCTCAAACCTGAATAACGACAATTCTTGACCTAATTTCTTAAAACTATAACATTACAGCTATGGGAAGAGTTCAGCATAAACCTTATGAAGATAAGAATATAAACTTTAGTGTTATTTGGAGTCTCTTTTCAGAGCACTTGGGGTGGTTAACCCTTGTGAAAAGCCTAATAGTTAGTTTTCAGCTTTGGCAGAGGGAGATTCTTAATACCTTTTGCACCCTATGATGAATCATCTACAAGAGAAGGCTTCATCTAGGAAAAAATGTCCTTACAAAGGGCATCAACACACACATCCGTAAAGTAAGCTAAGGTGCCTGTGAGCTGCTCCATGGAAACTTCACGTATGAAAGCTCTTGACTTGTATGAATGTGAAGTGGTACTTCTACTGAAGAATAATCTATTTAGGATTATCTGGCTTTTACCATGTGGGGAAAATGTATGCATGGACAGCTATGATAACAGCCTAACTTATCACATATTTAAGTTACCTTCTTACGACATGAGAGCTTGTTTTTGGGCCCATACTCTAAAATAACACTTTCTGCCCTTGTGCTGTAAATAGGTAAGAATTTCAAGTCACTTTGTAACTCAAATTCTGTTTGGAATTTAAGGGACTCTGCTGTTTCATTCTTGGTGATTATTGCAAAGCACATCAAGAAGTCAGACGAATCTGAAGACTTTAATATTTTTATTAAAGGCCTTGATGTTTTTTCATATTTTTGTACACTGGTTTCAAACTTTGGAATACTATTTTTTCATAGCCTGATAATGTAAATTAATTGAGATCCATCCTATGGTTTTCTTGGAGAAAGTAAGTCCTGTATATTTTGAAAGTTTTGCTGTTCCTTGAGGATAAAATTCTTCCCAACAATAACATTTTCTGCTTTTTATTACAAATTTTGAAAGATGAGGAACACAATTGAAAAATATTTCACAATGATATTCCAGTGTTGACTAGGATTTGAATCCAGATTATGTATTCCAACCCTATTATGAGTTTGTATTAGTCTTAAAAAACAAACCTCGGAGATTGCTTATATAGGCTGGCAAAACTTGATTTCTGAGAAGCTGCGGCAGCGTGTGCAAGGCCCTCCCTGGACGAGTACATCTTCCTGCAGGAATGGTCTCTCTGGAAACCAAGGGTGTTTCAAATGAGAGTCATTCAAAAAGCTGCACAGTATCATTCAGAAATGTGGGAGGAGAGTCTTTCTGCCATTTTTGAGTGTATAAAGCAGCTAATATCATCACCAGCACTCTGCTAGCAGACAGTTCTCTTTCCCAAATGCTCCATGAACTCTCCCATGCAGTCCCTGTGGTACAATCCCTATCCTGGCAATGCAGTTTGTGTGGCATTTTTAGACAAGGCCATCTGTTACTCATCTGTGATGCCTGTCTCCTGTACCCTTTCCCTCTCACTGATTTCTTGTTCTCATTAACCGTTGCCTTTTTGTGAGTTGTCTGCTTTTCCCTTCCTCATAGATCTTTTTTTCCCCTCTTGCAAGAGCAAATTCATGTTCTGCATCCATATACCACCCATTCCCTACCATCTCACAAATTGCTCCCTGTGTCTGCATTTAACTTCTGTCACCTCTCACGCGTCCTCCCGCCATTGCTTTTTGCAACTCCATCTAAATATCAGCTGTGCACCTGGACACCTTCTCTGTAAGTTGGTCATTTGGATGTCTTGCAGAGACATGAATGCTTTTGTGTTTTTTGCTGCAGCTGCCCTCCTTCTGAGGCTTCCCTTTCTCATTTTCCTATCTTGGTTTGAGACCTGCTGGTGTTTACTGCTTCCAGCCTTATATCTTCCTCCTTCCCACTTTCTTCTATTTTGGGGTGTGTGTGTGTGTTCCTGCTCCATCCTCTAAACTTCTCACCATCAATTGTCTTTGCCAGTATTGATATTTGGAAATTTTCAGTCATTCACGTTCATCCCTCGGTGTCCATGTTGATGACCTGTCTGATCCCTCAGTTGCATGTATTTCTCTCCTCTGTCTCTTCCTTCAGCGCGTGGCTCTGGTTCCACAGGCCAGAGGAGCACTCTTCTATCCTGTGGACCTCTTGAATCACAGCTGTCTACACTACTACCCATTAGTCCAGCTGAGCCTTTCTTTCAGTTTTCCCGTTCGTTCAGCCTGTTGTACTAATTAAGGTCAGCAGGGCCTGAGAAACATGTTGGCTTTGTCTTTGCTGTTGCATGAAGCACAAGTTGTTACCACCTCTAGGCTTGTTTGCTTCTCTCCACCTTGTCGCTGTACTGATTGTGCTGCCAGATCTTTTTAAGTTAATGTGTGTGGATTTTCCGTGCAGGCTTTCTTGTGCTTAAGGAATTTTACACAAAGGTATACAGTTAAGAATTAGTTTTCCAGATTACTGAAGGCTAGCTTGACTTAGGCTGCTGCTGGCCACTGTCTCATCATGCTAACTAAAACTATGTTCTTTTTCCTTGTGCTTTCCAGGCTTATTTTTGCTTTCTAATCTTCTTGAAGCAGAGGCATTTTTCTTGATCTGTGTTTTGACAGCATTTAGCATGTTGGGACTTGGGGAAAGTGGATTCCCTGAAAGGGTGAACTTCCCCCCTTTAAAAAAAAAAAAAAAAATTGTAGCAACAGGTGACGTGTATCCCATTTGTTATACCATTAGCAGCTGCTCAGCAAAGTGCTGTGGGACCCTGGTGGATGGGAGTGCTGTGTGAATGCAAACCAAAGCTTAATGTGTAAATTATAAGTTGTTGCTGAAGGAGGCGTTCATGGGGCTCCTTGGTCCCAGCTTCTGAGCATGGAAATGTTCGTATCCCTTTGAATTAAGATCTTGAAAGTGATGAGAAGGCAAAGAGACATATTAAGAGAGTCCCATGATGACGAGGATGTGCAATCCAAAGGTTTGAAATAGGTTAGAGAAAAAGAGGATGAATCCCAGAATGGTTTAGTCATACTGAAATAAGTTTCTGATCAAGTATGGCGTTGCTGTTGTGTATTTTGCAGTTCTCCAGTTCCAGAACATTTCAAAACATACCTTGAGAATTGAGGCGCTTGCTCTGCTTTATTGGAGTGGGCTATTAACTCGGTGGCAAATAAAGAATTTAAAATGTGTTTCTAAAGTAATTCCTTGTGTGAATAATGTTTTGTTTTGAGCATGTAAAGCTTGCAGTCCAATTTTGGGGAAAATCAGAAGCTTTTGCTTCAGTCTCAGCAAGGAGAACACTGCAATCAGAGTTAGGAAACAATTGCTATATAGACAAAGAAAACTTGTGGGGATATAAATGCATGAGATCTGTAAGACTGGAAGCTGGGTAGTGATGCAGGTGTGAAAGATGGCACAGAGACAGCTCTTAAATGGCATGCCACAAGTCTGGTGAGGCAGTTACCTGTGAGAGGCAGCAGCTGCAGTCTCTTGATTTGTGCATAATCTAGGACATGGTAGGAGTGCCTGATCCACAAACTGTCCAGAGGCAAAATTCCTCTTGGCTCTTGTGGAGTTTGTCTGCAACAGGAACCTTTAACTAATGAAAAAACATGCAGTCGGGTTTGCCAGCTTTGCTGATACACGATCTAAAGGAATCAGCAGCTTGAAAGTTATGTTAAATTTCTGGGAAATAATATTTGAAAGAACGAAAACCTAAATGCTGCTGTATTTCACTATTTTCTCAGAATATTAGAGTGACTGAAGCATAGAAAAGATGCAGAAACGTCTCCTGTTTTTCTGGAGCTAAACCTAACTGACAGATCGGTAGTTCTGTGTTAGTAGTTTTAAGTCTGATAGTTTGTGAAGTGCCTCTAAGGGCCATGCAGTCAAACCCAGCCGTGTCAGTAAACTGCAGATTCCCGCGTGGAGGCTACGGGGCCCTGCAAACTGAGCGAACTGGAGGAGCGCAGCTCTGTGCTGTGCAGTTTCTGAACCTGCCACAGGGATGCTCTCTCAGGAGCCAGTTACAGAAACAGCCAGGCACTACAGATTAGTGACTCTAAGCTTGTGTGGGGAGCCATGACAAAAGCTGGCTTTACTCAGTGGGCATCCTGTGGGCAATAACGGGGTTTCTGCACGGAGCTCGCAGACGGTTTCTATGTCACAGAAGCACCACAAGCTGGCAGCCTTTCACAGGCTTGGGAAGGAGGAAAGACCTGACTGGCCTGAGATCTGGATGCTGGTTTTCTGCAGCTCCACTGCAGTAACGCTTCCCTGGATCCAGGAGGCTGGTTGTCATCTCAGTTGTGTTGCTATGCTGTTTTTTGCTGGTGAAAGCGATCTCAGTGGGATCCTGTTCAGAACATTTTTGGCCTAACGTGAGTTGCACCTAGCGCATGATCTGCCTCAAACAAGCTAGTGCCTGTAAGGAGAGCCCTTGGGCCGGGGGAATCGCAGTGAGTTCTTGGCCTTTTGTTTCAAATAAATGGCATACAAGGGATGGGGAATGGGAGTCCCGCACTGGAAGATGCCATGCCCTACCCTAGGGACTCTGCTGTCATAAAAGGTAGCTTTTCCCAACTTTTCCAGCCTTCTTTTTCTGAGCAGTATAGGAAGGAACTATAATTTCTCCAGCGAGTCTTGCAAGGACAAAGGTTTGGGGAGTGGGACTCACACGGTGTGGTCTTGTTCCAGGGAGGTGGGAACTGAACTGCGCTTCTCCTGAGTTTGCGGCTCATGCCACAGACTGCTGTTAGGGTACGATGTGTGGGGATTACCACGGAGATTTCCTGGTTTCCTAATGTTTGGGTTTAGGTTGTGAACTCCCACAACCTGGGAGGGAAGGAGAAATAGAAAAGCCAGCAGTTTGGAATCAACATTTATTTTGCTGTGGTAATTTTTTTCAGTCGGCTAATGATTGTGTTTGCTCTCGCGCTTCTGCCGCACTGTGTCACTGCTGACATTGTGGCAGGCAAACGTTAGCTGACTGCAGACCAAGCACTTTACGCTCCTGTTACTTTCCATGGGATATGAGTGCCTAACTCCCTTTGACTCCTTTGTAAATACTGTAAATTGTTATTCCATGTGCATGCAAAGCTTTACAGGGACTAAGTGCTATCTCTTGTTTCAGGCAACTGTATTGATTTTTTGGTTATTAAGATCTTACTAAATTGGTCCTTGATTTGGCGAAGCATGAGGGCACGTACTGAAGTTGAAGCTTGATTCTTCTAGGAATACTTACGTGCGTGTAAGTGCTCTGGTGACCTGGAATGTTGGTTCTGTATTTTGTTTAATCTCCATGTGCGAGTGAATACATGAATAAGAGTTGTGAACCGATTACTGAATGAAGAGATGACACAAACAAGCACAGTGAAACGTTTGTGGGAGGCAAATTGATTTTTAACTTGTCAGAATCTTTACGCTGAGTATGTGAGAAGTATGCCCTCTGGCATTAAGTATAAGAGATACTTTTTACAGGGGAAATTCATACAAATTTGTACCGCCCGACACCCTCACTGCTTTCCTTTCAGATTTGTTATTGGGGGCCATAATTGCGTCATGTGCCAATTGGCACATCTCCACTGATCTCATGAGGGAGATCACTGGGGCCACGACGCTTAATGAACATGTTCATATTTCATCCTTCTCTCCACACAGCTGGTATTAATGTACTTGTTTATTAGATCCAGGCAATGGTGTAGTGTGGCAAGCAGTTGCAGCCCAAGATGTGGCTGAATCTCTAAAGGTGAGCACGTGGTAGGAGATACTCTTTGTGAACTTCTGAATAGAAATTTGCAAAATTTCTGTCCATACTTCTGTTCTTTTGAAAAATGCATTCTCAATTGTTACTTGATGCTAGTAACATATGCTTAATTTACTCAAAGACCAGTCAGACAGTGGTGGGAGTACACCAGCTCTGGTTATCATAGCATGTGATCTCCTGCACCCATCTCTGAATTGAAGCTCTCGTCTCCACTGCCACTCCTGCTGTCACAGGGAATGCAAATTTGGAATGCAGTCTGTTCTGCAAGGAGGACAAAGTCTGTGACAAAACTCACCATTCTGCAAGAAGCTATGAGATTTTTTCCGTTGGGCACACAGAATCGCAACTGAATCTGGAGGTGCAATGACACCATTTGTAGAAGACTTTGGTGAGGAAGAACGACTCCCAGGAAGGCAGAATGCTTAGCTGCCAGGGCATTATCTGATAGTTGGATACATCTTTCCCAAACTGGCAGTGCAAGATGAGAAATTACATAATCGATGAGATACAGATTTCCAAGTCATTTAGAGCATTAGCCATTCAAGTCCTCAGGTGTCTTAACTCTTAATGATTGATTGGAACTAAAATGAGTAACATTCCTCATCAAGAGAGGAATCTGGTATATTTGGCTACTAACATGAAAACATAAAGTGGTACCAGGACTATTTTCCTCAACCATCTTAGATCCCTACTTCCATTTGTATTGAATTGGCATTGATTTTCTGCTGTTGTCTTGCAAATCTTTAAAAAAAAACTTCCAGAATTTGCCTATAAATCAAATGAACAAGCTAATTTTGGGCAAGAAGTATATATAAATGAGCTGTGTTAGGCAGCTTTGCATTTGGATATAGGAAAGTTTTTTGCAGGCTGTGTGAGAAGCTTTTTCTGTTTAAGTCACTGTTATGAGTGTCCTGTGTTGTCTCCTGGTTACTATAAAAGTCTCAGTGTAATTGTGGTTTCCAGAGTTGCAGATCCATCAAATCCATTTGTAATTACGTGTGAAATTACTTTGTCGTTGGCTTTCCCCTTGCTTTCTCTTGAAGGAAAAAAAAACATGCAGATTCACAAAATCTTTGCTATATGTAATAATATTTTCTTAACTGACCCAAGTTATTTCATATCAGTTAGAAGTTCTCATTCCTTGGTTTCGCATGTATTTCTCTGGGCTGCTTTGCATTGGCATTGTACTGATTATAGTACTGTTTAAATGATAGCTGATGATAAATATTATCCTTGCACAGACATAGGGCATCATCATATGTCATGTCTGCTGACCAGTTTTTTGCCTGCACAGCAGATTTTTGTGGCTGTGAGCCAGGAATTTTAATGAAAGAAAACATCAAAGATGCAGAAGAAATGAGAATATTAGTCAAGGAAGATACACAGTGATGCTCTCTGATAACCTCTGGTAATTGACATTAGAACTATGTGGGAGCAACTTAAATAAACATCTGGACACTGAGTTTAGACATTTCCAGTGACAAAACCCAGACAGATCTTCTGGACTTGCAATAATAAATATTTCAGCGCAGTCTACATGAATCAACTTAGAATCCTGTTTTCAATTATTCTAGTTTTATAAATATATCATAGTTAATTATTCAGGGATAGGATTTCTTTTGAAGATTAAGGAATTTGATGTTTGCTTCATTCACATAAAGTTCCTTTTTTTATTTATATCAAATTTACTTCTGTTTGTACAAAAACAATAGTGCAAGCTTGCCAAGAGCCATTAAAGCAGAATGCAACTGAACTTCTTCTGGGGTGGAAGGGCCTTTTCTGGAAATCCTGGCAGTGCACTGTAATTCATTCCAGCTATGGAAACCACTTAAACTGTGCTGAAAAGAAGATTACAAATAATAGCTTTTAAAAGTTATTCTCAATAGTTTTAAAGAGTTTTTCCTTATCTTTTTTATGTTGGGGCCTGTGATACTGCTAAGAACATGGTATCCCCTTAGAGACAGTTAAGAGATGTTTAGAGGTACTGAAGTATTTAAAAGAGATAACAATAAGGCTAAAAGACTGAAACACTAGTTGCAATCCAGATGTGGTGCTGATAATACAGCTGTGACGAGGGAACGGCTAGTAAATGCGCTCTCTGTTTCTGTGCAACTTTATTTGCCTTAGCAAAGCCTCTAGTGTGGAATGTAACTGCAACATGACTTATTTCAGGAGTAATGAATCTGAGGCTGCAGAGTTAGTACACGTTAAGATGACTGTTTTCATGTATGTTCTTTTGTTTTCTTATTTTGACACGATCTGTACCTTTGTTGCCAGGGGGCCCCAACAAGCTGAGGGATTCTTGTGAGGAGGATTTAGGAGTAATCGTCAGTGCCACTTTCAGTGTAATTTATGCTTCCCCGTAGCCCAGGCTGTCAGCCTCAGCCCAAGTCCTACTGCTTCCTGCCTGGGCTGTCACTAGTAGAAGTGCTAGTG